GTTCTGTGAAGAATACTATTGGTATTTTGATGGGGATTGTGTTGAACCTATAGATGACTTTGAGTAGTATGAAATTTTAAGAATATTCATTCTAGGGGCGCCTGGGTGGCGCAGTCGGTTAAGCGTCCGACTTCAGCCAGGTCACGATCTCGCGGTCCGTGAGTTCGAGCCCCGCGTCAGGCTCTGGGCTGATGGCTCAGAGCCTGGAGCCTGTTTCCGATTCTGTGTCTCCCTCTCTCTCTGCCCCTCCCCCGTTCATGCTCTGTCTCTCTCTGTCCCAAAAATAAATAAACGTTGAAAAAAAAAATTAAAAAAAAAAAAAAAGAATATTCATTCTAACAATTCATGAACATGCTATATCTTTCCATTTATTTATATCATCTTCTATTTCTTTCATCAGCATCTTATAGTTTTTAGAGTAGGTATTACTTACTTTTTATTTTATTTTATTTTGAGGGAGAGAGAGAGTGTGTGTGTGTGAGCAGGGGAGGGGCAGAAAGAGAGAGAATCCCAAGTAGGTTCTGTGCAGGGCCGGATCCCACAGACCCTGAGATCATGACCTGAACCAAAACTGAGTCGGATGCTTAACTGACTGAGTCACCCAGGTGCCCCACAGAATAGATATTACATTTTTAAATGATTGAGAAAAATCAAAGGAAGACTAATATTTAATTACATAGGACAATTAAACAAATTCAAATTAAGTGTCTATAAATACAGTTTTACTGGGACACAGCTATGCTCGTTATATTTATTCACAATGGCTGCTTTTGTGACACAGGCAGAGATGAGTAGTAACAGATAACTTATGGCCCACAAAGCCTAAAATATTTGCAGTCTGGCCTTTTATAGAAAAAAAATTCTTGACCAGGAAACACACAAAATAGATTTATTTTCTTTTCATTTCAGACTCCTCTCTCTGGCTCTCTGGCTCTCTTTTAAAATTGGAGAATATCTTTATTTTGCTTTCACATTTTTTTCTTAATTGAGGTAACTATAGATTCATATGAAATTGTATGAAATAAAATGAGATATTCTTTGTATATTTTTCCCAGTTTCCCCCAATGGTAATATTTTGCAAAACTACAGTATAATATTACAATCAAAATATTGGCAGTGATAACCATCTATTGATTTAATTTAGATTACCCCAGTTTTAGTTGTACTCATTATGCATATATATGTGCTATACAATTTTTCTCACCTGGGTATATCCATGTATGCAGCAACATAGTCTCAACAGAGTCTTTTATTCTTAAGCTTTCGTGCTTTTATTCATTCTTACGTGGCATAGTTTGGAAGTTCTGTCCATCTTTACTAATTTCTGATAGCTTTGCAGTTTATCAATATCCCCTTTAAAGTATCTATGTTGCATTCAAGTAGTTGCAGTTTTCAAAAGAATTTAGAAAATATTACTAATGAAGGTTAAAGCAAGATAGGAGATACATAACTTTGGCAAATGTCAGAAGCTATTATGATATTCTTTAGGGACAAACAATTGTGATGTGCCTGAGCAAAGTTGAAAAGTAACACAGTAGTCAAAATATCAATAGCCAAATCAAAATATACTTTATGCATTAGATATTCAGTCAAAGAATGTAAACAATCCAAATCATTAATAAAGAAAAAATTATAAAATCTTCTAGAATTTAGAAACTAGAATAGCAAAGGTTGGGGAGGATAGACAAAGGAGGAAAGGACAGAAAGAAAGAAAGAGAAAAAGAAGGAAGGAAGAAAGTAAGGAGGGGTCATGTATTACTAGATCTGAAGAATAGAGAACATAGATCCAACATATAAATGTTTCTAAAGAATAAACCAGGACAAACAAAACATGAGCAACCATAGTGTTTATGGAATGAAACTTCACTATGATAAATAAAAGCATGTATCTAGAGATTAAAAGTATTCATTATTAATATGTCCCAAGTAACAATAATAATAATAATAATAATAATAATAATAATATAATAACAATAGTAAGAAGAGACATATACTAGATATATACTAGTAACATTTTAAATCTCTATGACCTAGATAGAATTCCAAAAGTTTATTGGCAGGAAAAAATAAATTAGGTAACTAAAAACAAACTTCAAAAATTTGAGGAAAATATGTTTCAACTGATAATTATAAATTGATTTAGATATTTACTTACAAAGGCAAGAATAATTAATTTTCACGTAATTACAAGTTCAGAAAACATACTATCTACATGTATTTTCTAACAGAAAAAAATTAGATATCGGCACTAACTGAGCAATAATTCAAAATATAAAGAAAAATTACAGTATTATCAAATTATGTGAGGAAAGGTCTATGTGAAGCATACCCATATTACTTTGTTTTCTTTGATTAATTATTTTTGTTTCAATGGGCCAAACCAGCAGTTGTGGTCCCTACTAAGGCTACACCTTAAATTAATAGAAAAAAAAGATCATGTTCTGCAGGATTTAAAAAACATACCCTAAGAATTTTCTAGCATCTCAGTTCTTGAGTCTTTCTTACTTTTCAGTACTTAGTACTACTGATAATTATTTTTTCTAATTTATTCACTTTAACTCTGGAACATTGATTTTTAAAAACTTTTTTATTTTTAAATAGTTATAGACTTACAAAAACTTGCAAAAGCAGTAGAGTTCCGGGACGCTTGGGTGACTCAGTCAGTTGAGAGTCTGTCTTTGATCCAGGTTATGATCTCGCAGTTTGTGAGTTTAAGCCCCACGTCAGGCTCGCTGCTGTCAAACTGTCAGTTCTGGGCCTGGTTCAAATCCTCTGTCCCCTTCTGTCTGCCCCTCCCCTCTTGGCTCTCCCCCAAAATAAAAATACATTAAAAAAATAGTAGACTTCCTTCATATTTGTTATCTCACTTCTATTAATAATAACCTCACATAACCATGATATAATGATCAAAACCAGGAAATTGGTATCACTATAATACTATTAACGAAAATACAGACATTCAGTTTCAGCTGTTGTCCTACTGTCTTTTTGTCTGCTCTAAGATTGGATCCAGGCTTTCACATTATCTTTAATTGTTATTTAGTTTACCCTTAGTTACAGTAGGAACAGTTCCTCAATTTTTTTTTTCTTTTTTGGGCATTTGATTTGTGACCTTGGCCCTTTTGAAGACTACTGGTTGGGTATTGTTTTTAACTCCAACAGGTAGCTCTCTGAGGTCAACTGGAATGAATACAGAAAAATAGGTGTCTTATTTTGAAAAATATGAAAGTGAGACCCATCTAGTGGACAAAATATTGTATCACACAATAACCAAATGCTACTTTATCTTTCTGTATAAATATAGGCACAATACAAATATAGTTATATATAGATACAGATATAGATATAGGTATATACATATGTAAAGTGTAAGTCAATCAAATAATTTCTTCTTGAATTATTTGCTGAAATAAAAATGGCAATAACCAGTTTTATAATCCAAATTAGCTATTTTGTGAAATCAAGTGCATATCTAGAAAACTTTAAAGATGGTTTTGAAAATGCTAATTTGAACTCTTAGGAAAATTTAGATCTGGCATTTACTTATCTATATATATCCCTAGTATCTTTCAGATAATGGACTTTCACAATTTTGGAAATTATACTGAGTAAGGGCCCTGGCATGTGTATGTATTTTGATAACTTTCATCACTCCGTTTCAAATATAATCTCTGCCTGTTGGTCAGTGTCAAAAAATGAAGGAAAACTACCAGGAATAAATCAGGTTCTTTTTTTTTTTTTTTTTTATTACAGGTAACTAGTTTTCTGAATGAATGGAATTTACTCATAATTTAATTTGTAAAGGGATTTAAATTCTCTTAAAGTTGGCAAGTAGAGCAAGTTAATGCCTTTCTTAAGTGTGGATATGTTTTTGTCTTTTGAATTAAGAAGCTTACGGTAGACAAGCAATGAACCAAAGGAAGAGAACATTTAATTATCTTAAGACATGGGGTTCTGAAAATTTTCAGTAGATGCACTACCTTAGCCATAAGTTAAAGGAAGGAAACCACAAAGCCTAGACAAAGTAGGCAAATGGAATTGGAAGCTATTCAAGTCAAGATCAGATGAGAATAAAAAATGAATTTTATAAATAGATAAAATATTCCCTTTAACTTAAACACTGAAGTGCACCTTCTGGTTTTATTTCTATTTATATTTACCAAAAGTAGTTTTCTGTGATGAAAAACAACTTTTCCCCTTCCAGTGAAATCTGTAAAATGTAAACTGTTAGATATCTGTAGGCTCTTCTAGAATGCACAGCTGGAAAAACAAGGATATGTAAACCCTGAGATGGTTTGGGTCTATTTCAAGGTTTTGTTCTTGGCCTTATGCATGAACCAAAAAGTTGCCCTTGGCTTCTAAATTTGGGAATGACAATTTAAAACTTTCAAATATGTGTTTCATTGGTGCATATTACGTATAGAAATTGTCCATTTAAAAATATTTAATATTTACCAAGTGTAATAAAGGACTAGAAATATGTATTTAATAATAATAGTAATAATAATAATAATAATAATAATAATAATAATAATAATAATAATTTGGCTTTTCTATGAAAGTGACATTTTTTCCTAAGCCTGAGCATTATCTACAATCATCTTTAGGCACATTATTTTTTCTGAAAGTTGGTAATTTTTGGCTTACTATGCCCAGTATGGTTAAAAAGTAATGTTTTTATATATTTAGCATGTTTCATTGTACCCTGATAGTGTAAAAACTCCTTATGCATAAACACTCATATGGGAATAATAAAAAAAATATATTATCCTTTGTAACCATGTAAATCAAACCTGGCAGCTGGTGCTTGGCATATAGAGAAGACCCACAAAATTATTGTTCCAAATTATGATGAGTAAGTGAACCCAAAGTGACCCCTGGCACAACTAGATAACAAGTTGGTCAAAAAAAGAATTACTAGCAATTATGCTTTCTGATTGCCTACAAGCAGACAACGAAATTTGTGGCTGGTGTAATCTCATGTATGTCTGTTTTCATAGCTAGCTTCTTGGTCTGGCCCCTTGTGCACCATGGACAAAAGAGAAAGGATTTGTTTTTTCCTTCAGAATCAGAGTACATATTCTTTCTTAACTCTCTCCCTGCCCCTCCCCACATTAGCTTATGCATGTAACTTATGTAATGTGTATGAGATAACATGCAAAAATCAACTGTTGTGAATTTACTACTATTAAAGCTTTTATAATTAGTAGTAAATCACTGCTGAATGAGCCTTTCATGGAAGCATATTTTGGTGGATTCAGGAGGAAACCAGCAAACCAAAATGAGAGGAGAGTTTATTGATGAGATGATGGAAGAGATATGATGTCCCAAGACCAACTTCTTCCACTTCACAATTTGTCCTGAAACAGCTTTGATAGAAATTAGTGGATTTGGACCCTGCCACTTGTCACTGTTTCATATCTTAGTTGTGCTGTTGAGCAGAATACTGTTGTAAAGATAATTATGTTTCCTTTTGTGTTTCCCACCTGGATTTATTCCCACCTGGATTATTTCTGCTTGCAGAGTCAGCAGAAAGACTTTGTTGTCTTCATCACTTCCTGGAGGGGAGTGTCAAAACAAAAACACAGTGACCACAATAGGCACAACAACCAAAACAAAAATAATTTTAAAAGGAGAAAATGTTTGAGCTTCTTCTTAGCTTTGGTTTTCAGATACTTAAGGCCTTGAGGGTTAAGGAGAAGATTTGAGATATAGATAAAAATATGTGAAGGGAAAATGATTCCCTTTTCCATGATTTCTCCCAAAAGGAGAGAAGGGAGATGGAGAAGATGTTATAAGAACAAAGGTTGGAAGGGTTGTGGAAATGGATAAAGAGATTGATCATGTACCTCTCGTCTATGGTTAGAGTTTTGGGATTATGACCTCCGGCCTAGAAACCATAGAAAACGTTGCAGCAATTTATGTGATCTTAACATGTCATGGAAACAATTTATATTAATAGGCAATAACAAACTGATTTGCAAGGACTACAAGAGTAGGAATTTCAGCGTTGAGCTGAATGGTCTGATGACTAAGGATTACACGCAGCAATGCACGGATGGAAGAGTTAAAAATGTGGTTCCCCACCCCTAAGTACTTGGAATTATTTAACCTAAAACTTAAAACAACCCCAGGAAAGAGGCAGGGAGCCTGAACTGACTTAAAACAATTTTCTCCTACATTGACAAAATGAGTGCTGAAAATAAAATTAAATTGTGTTACAAAAAAGTAATATATATTTCTTGCACACTGAGTTCTTGCATACTTAAATAAGATTCATACCAGTTATTAACCTACACGTTACAAACATCTTGCAATAAGGGAAGACTCAGGCTATTTGCAAAGGTGGCAACATTTAGCACCGTCTGAAAGATGAATAAGTATGTGCCAGATGTATAATGGATGATGAGCACTTAGGAAAAGGGAGAGTAAATGCAGTCCTGTAAAATAATGAGAAAGAATTGTATGTTTGAGTAAGATCAAGAGATAATTTAGAGTACAGTCACCTAAGAATTAGCAGACAGAGAGCCATGAGGATGAAAAAGTAGACACAGCTGGAATATTAAAATCCTAAGAAGTGCTAATATTAAAAGCTAAGAAGTGTTGGGTTAGTCCTGAAGTTGATGTGGATCTGTTAAAGTAGTTTAACCAGAGGAGTGGTGTGAACAAATTTGATTTTTATAAAGATAACTCAGGTAGAGTGTGTAGGATTCTTTCAAACGTGTTGAGAATACAGGCAGACCGACCAGTTAGGAAGCTGGTGAGAAACTATTATGATTTAAACCATGGGAGTGCAGATAGAGGCAATTGAGATTTGCTTGGCATGTGCATTGATGAGACTTGGCAGGTTAGGCATTAGTTATGAGGGAGCGGTTGATGATATCTCCCAGTTTCTGAATGGAATGTTAGTGCAATTAATCAAGCAAGATAAGGAATACAGGGAGGAGATTTGTAGAGATGAACAGTTGACTATTGGAAAGAGATTCTTGGATTTCTGGAAGATTTCTGGACTAAAAGCAGATTAGGGAAATTCCATGACCACAAAACATGATTTGGATAAATTTGTATAGATTTTCAAATATTTGCCTTCCCTACTTCTCTGTCACTTTCCTTCTTCATTCAGGCAACAAAATCTGATATTTTCAATGCTGCTCAAAGTTGACATCTCCTATGCCTCTGACTTCATATTTGATTTCAATTTGACTTTTATTGCACTTTTTCTCTGTTGATTTAATTTTGAGATCTTGAATATACTCCTGTTGCCTCAGGAAGATTTAAAATAACTTTGCCCTGCTTTGTGGCAGGATATAGGCCATGAACCATTCCAATAAAACTGGAAAATAATAAACTAGGAGGCAATGTATTTCCATACTCTGTAGACAGAAAATCATCTTGCAGATGGACCAAGCAGGAATTCACTCACCTACTGAGCAGGTGGCAGCTACATAGAATCAACTTACTACTACATATACCAATCGCTCCAATTATTATAATAATTAATAATACTTACACAGCGATTTTTCATTCTAAACTCATATTTTAGGTGCTTTACATATATTAGTTCATTTAGTTCCTGCTTTAACCCTATGAAGTAGTTACTATCATTATTCCCATTCTACAGATGAAGAAACTGAGATACATAAAAATTAAAATTAAATTGGTCAATGTTGCACAGTAATGTGGTTTCAGATGTAAGCTATGTAGCTCCAGAGATGCACTCACTCAATATATAATGTTCATTTGCACTATTTTCCTATGCTGTTGTAACAAATTGCTACAGACCTAATGGCTTAAAACCACACAAATTTACTTTCTTCCAGTTCTGAAGTCCAGAAGCTCAAAAAGGACGAAAATGCATTAAAATCAAGGACTATGCTCTTGGAGGTTCTAGGGAAGAGTCCATTTGTTACCTTTTCCAGCTTCTAGAGGCACCCTGAATCCCTTGGCTTGTACCTCTTTCTTTCATCTTTGAAGTCAGCAATATAGCATCTTCAAATCTTTTTAAGTCAGCTACCATTGTCACATCTCCTTCTCTGACTTTGATCCTCCTGAATCCCCCTTATAAGAATACCTGTGATTCAGTTGGGCCCACCCAATAATCTGGAATAATCTCCCTACGTCGAGATTCTAATCTTAATCATGTCTGCAAAGTTACTTTTGCCATATAAGGTAACATATTCACAGGTTTCAAGGATATTTCAAAGGACTATTCTGTCTACAACATCATTCTTGATATTTTCACTGATAGGGAGGATATCTTCTCCCTGGAAGACCTCAATATTAGCCTTCTGTGTTTCTACATTTCTGCAATTATTTTATTCGAAAATAACATCTTACTCCCTCATATGAATGTGTGCTCACCTGCACACGTGCGCGCGCGCGCGCGCGCACACACACACACACACACACACACACACACACACACACACACTTGCCCACTCCTATAACATAATTTTCCAATGTGGAAAAAGAAGGTTGCATTAAACACATGAAATGACATGGATAAGACCTGGTACTATGATGGTTAAGACCTATACTCTTGCCTAGACACTCAAGGAGCACCAGAAAATTCAGTCATCAAGAAGTATGGAGCACCAACTTCTTCAACTGTGTATGTACATATATTCACCACACAAAATCCTTTGAAGATGTTTTGGTTTATTTGTTGATTTTACACCACTCTGTTTTCCAAAGAATTTAAAGCCCCCATTGAAGCTGGGCCGGGATTATAATTTTCAATTATTCGGTGCTAATATATTCTCACCAAACATGTAGGAAGATACCAAATATGTAATGGTTTGGAGTGGCCTATGCTTCATTCCAGAATTCCTACACTTGAGTCAAGGGTAGGTTAACAAAACAATATACACAGTTATATATTTATTTATATATATGTGTATATATATGTACATATATATATACATATATATGTATATATGTACATATATATATACACACACACACATATATGTGTGTGTGTGTGTGTGTGTGTGTGTGTGTGTGTGTGTGTATGTCAGGAATCACTCCATGATTCTTTCAGATGGCATAAGGTTATATTCTCTGGAGGGAGAATTGTTGACAGGAGATCAAGGTCAAGGATTTCTTGGTCTTTGTTGTATAATAGACTAAGCCTTTAGCTGTCATTCACTTTAATAACTCTTCCATAGTCCTTTACATTCCCAGGTGAACACAACGTAGAATTATATATTTAAATAATGTGAGTAAAACTCCAATGTTGCAGTAGCATTGTTTTAAACTTTGCCTCTATTTTGGGAATAAAGAAGATTCAAGTGCTAAATCTTTTTATCTTTTTCATATAAAGTGGGTGAATCTACCTTTGAGCTATTGTTCTATTTGGAGACAGCCCTGGATTATGGTTAGCTTTAAGTGGTCTTTAGCCCTGAGATTTTTTTTAATGTTTATTAATTTTTGAGAGAGAGAGAGCATGAGCAGGGGAAGGACAGAGATGGCCGGTGGGGGGGGGGGGGGGTGACAGAGGACCTGAAGCAGGTTCTGTGCTGACAGCAGACAGCACAATACAGGACTCGATCTCCCAAACAGTGAGATCATGAACTAAGCCAAGATCAAGGATCAGATAGATGCTTAACAGACTGAACCACCCAGGCATCCCAGTCCTAAGCCTTCTATTTATCAGTCTATAGGATTTTTATTCTTCCCACATATATATTACCTGCAATCTTCAGAAACAAGTGGAAACTATCTCTTTTCTTTTTCTTTTTATTCTTTGTGCTATTAGGATAAAAACAGCGAGTTTTTATAAATGAGTTGTATCTTGTTCATGTCTATTAAACTGACAAATTGGCACAGTTCCACATTATTTTTAACTTCTTTTCCTAGAATCTGTTTACCTGTTTTGAAATATTTAGAAAATTATTCTTTTTTATGGATTAAAAATTCTGTTACATATTCATTTGCTAAGTACTTAGAAAAGTAAAATGTCAAATTTGAAACTTTTGTATTGTGTGGTACAGCCAGTTTTCCACATTCAGGAGAAAAACAGGTCATACCTACTAACTAAAAGAACACCTTCCCAAATTTTCATTTGATATAAAATACTTGGTTAATAAGCAAAGCATCTTTCTCTTTTCCCCCAAACTGCTTAGATTTAAAGGTATATCTTAAATACAGCTTTGAAAAATCATTGAAGTTACTTTCTTTTTAGCAGAAGAATGTACCAGGGACTGTATTGATGTTTGAAGTCTGGAATTACAGGATAAGGCAAGTTGACTATTAAGACTGGCAGAAATGACTCTCTTAAATTCTTGCTCTTCTTCCAAGAGGTAACAAAACCTAATCCTAGAAATACAACATATTTGTTTTAGTTGAAAGTATGGTCTGGAGTTTCCTGGCCTTTTATAAACTTCCTCACCCAACTTGCCCAGACTCCAGTGTGTGAACAGGAAGGATTGTGAACACTGCAAATTAGTGCACATGTGACCAGATTCTCATTAAATGCTTGTTGACTGAGTTGCTAGCTCCAGTAAGAACTGGTACTGGAAGTGTGGTCTGGGAAAGGACTGGGGGAGGGGCGGGTGGTAAGGGAGCAAATACAGGCAGCCATTGGAAAGTATGCTGCTTACAGCCTAAGGAAACCTCAGGTCCAAATGATCCTGGATTTATAGTCTAAGTGGGAGGAAGAACAGAAGAGCGTTGTGAGTTACTATAATCCCCCCTCCTCCGCAGTTTTGCTCTTCATGATTTCAGTTTCCCGCAGTCAAGCAGATTGCAGAAGCAGAGATCCTCCTTCTGAGCGTTGTCAGAAGGTCAGCAGTAGCGTAATGTTGTATCCCAATACCTGTGTCATCCACTTGATTCCATCTCATCATGCAGGCATTTTATCATCCCTCATGATCCCAAGAAGAAGGCTGAATATAGTATAATAAAATATTCTGAGAGAGAGAGAGAGAAAGAGAGAGAGAGAGAGAGAGAGAGAGAGAGAGAGAGAAACTACATTTACATAACTTCTATTACAGTTAGTGCTGTAATTACTCTATTTTATTATTATTGTTGTTAATCTCTTACTGTGCCTATTTTATAAATTAAATTTTACCATAAATATGTATGAATAGGAAAAAAAAAACCAGAATATACAGGATTCAGTCCTGTCCACTTTTTCAGGTATTCACTGGGAGGCTTGGAATGCATCCCCCACAGGTAAGGGGCAACCAATATATTTTTTTTCAAGAGGAATTTCGTATTGCAAAACCGGACCACAATCGGCACTAAAAGAAATTAACTGACCTGAGCATCAAGAGAACTGGATTTTAACAATTCTGAAACATGTGATATAATCTGGAGTAAAATTCTTCACCAGTGCTGTATCTGGCTCATACTTTGTACACTTGGGCATGTAGGTCAGGTTGTCTGGAATAACATCTCCAGATCCCTCAGGACCATGTTGATATTGGTCCCTTTGAGGATAAGTAGCTGACACTGCACTTTTCTGGGCATCAAATTCTCCATATTTAAAATGAAAAGGATGAAGCTGATGTGTTCTAAAGTTGTTCACAATCTGTTGGGAAACTGAGTAACTATAAATTAATCCTGATATCCTATTTAATCAATTTACCAGAGAATGTGTTCTTCCAGTCATTTATTTCATAAATATTCATCAAGCAACTATTGTGCGCCAGACATTTCAGTGGGCAGTGGGAAATATCCATGGGCCAAAAACAAAGAGTTCCTCTCATTTGTTGTAAAAATCAAAACCTTACATTCTAACATGTTTTAGTAAGACTCTGAGAATTTTAGCAAACATGTGTGTAACATCCCTGTTTTCCTGCTTCAGGCAGCCAGACTCCAGACACTGTCCCTACCCTGAAGAGTGACTTTATTGCTTTTGGGCCAGGTAACCAGGAACAATAAAGTTTGTAATAATTTAGAAGTATGGACCTGTTAAAACAATGTATACACTTTTCCTAAAGAAATTCTGGACTAGAATGAGCTGACATCCTTTATCCTTCTTACCTATAATTCTTCAGTATGTTGCTATGGATTTTGCTAGTTAATTTATGGGGGAGGGAGAGGTGGGGGCAGAAAGTGTTTCTTCATGTAAAAGTCCTTTATGGGACTAATTTCAAAGTAGCTGTTGCATCCCAGCTGGGACTTACCTCTATTTTAAAAGGAAATGACAGTTTCTCTCTTTAGTAGCAAACATAGATATCCAGGTACTGCCACACTGGCAAATACTTCTAGAATAGCATAAAATGATAACATATTAGTGCAAAATGTAGAATATTTGAAGAGGTATGTATGGTGACAACAAATATATATGTTGTTTTATTCCTTTACCCTTTCCTTCAAGATTAGCGGACATAATTTTAGTAATCATTTGGGTTTAGGAGGGATTTTACCACAGCCACAGGTTTCTGGGTTTGTCTTGCATCCCAAAAATTGCCTTTGCTCTGCTATCCTCATTTAGCATGACCCAGGAGGGAATTCAAAGTTCTGCTCATTGCTTTTTTGGCTCATCACAGAACTTCATAGGGATAGCAAAATTCCTGAGCCAGGAATCCCAATCTACTGAAGAGCTCAACTCCAGGAGGGGTGTGGTATTCCGTGTTTTAAGTCTTTATAGTCCACAAGTGAAATGGTCAACACTGTGAGGCAAAAACCAAGTGTGGTTATATGCTGATGCCTTTTCCATGGCGTGATCTTGTCAAACTCATCCCCAGCCTCTAGAAAGGTGGTTTTAAGAGGAGGAAGAGACTGTGTTTGTGTTCATGTGCTGAGTGTTTGGAGATGTAGTTGAGGAGCATTTAGTAAAGTGGTAGGAAAGTGAAGAAAGGAAAAGAAATCTGGACAATATGGGTCTTACAACATCTTACACAAAATAAACTTTAATTATCAGACTAGATTTTCATTACCGTCAGTAGAATGAACATATCTTAAGTGAATCGAATCCTGAAAGATGGTGAAAGTAAAGAATACTGAAAAGAATGAATGACTTTTCATCAGAGCTATGTAAGGATTTTTTCTTTGTAGTAGTCTAGGATCTTAGGCCATAGCATTTGATTTATTAACATTATAAAAAATCAATCAAAACATTTTCTTAAAAGAGCCAAACCACAAAATCTTGGGTGAGTGTAAGGGTAAAAGTAGAGAGTGTATCTTGGAATAGTAATAATGATTACAATGATTTATAAAACTTATTCAATATATTGTATATTATGTAAAGTTCTTTATTCAGTCATTGATCCATTGTATTCATCTTCAGTCATTGACTCAACAAACATTATACAAACCTCCTCTGTTTAAGGCACGGTGGGCACTGGAACTATAGAATAAACAAAACAAAATGGCTTTCTGGAACCCATAGTTCTGGAACTAAATGTCATATTCCATTTATCTCTCATACAAATCTATGAAGCAGATAATTATCAATACCTACATTTGTAAACATGGAATCAGAGGCTTCTAGAAGGGAGGTAATTCTCCAAGGATACCAGCTGGTTGGCTGACTACTAGGAGTTTGAACTCAATTTGTCAAATCACAAATCTGTTCTTAATGGTCTCAGGGCTTTTTAAACCTTGGTATATGATTAAGGAGCATGATTCAGATTTCAGTATGAAAATAGGACTGCTTTATTATTAGTTAGCATGAATAAAAGTGGAGATCCGAAGTGTTTTAGATAAGTATTATAAATCAAAAACTAATAGCATCTTCATTCTCTGCCAACACAGAGTCTAGTTAGAAAAAGCAAAAGTTTTATAACTAATGGCAAGAGAGGATGTGATTTATTGATAAGCAACTAAAGGATTTTCCCATAGAAAATGTATTTTTCAAATTTGACATTATAAAACTTTCTGAATAAAATTAAAAAATATCAGCCATCTTTTGATTTTTCAATCTATTCAAATGACTGGTCTCTCAAATTAGAAACATATGGATGCCTGAATTTTTAAAATATTTATTTGGATTGTTTTGACATTTGTCTAACTTTCTGATGATAGCTTTAAAGTTGGAAAATATATTTTAAAAATTTCTCTAATATTAAAAAAAATTACCATATAACTCATGAAATCGTGAAGATGTATTACAGCAGAGAAGGGAAAAATTAGCCACATTTCATGGAAAGAGGAATGACTTGGAAAATAATATATACAAACACTGCATTTTTAGTAAAATTAAGTCCATGTGCAACACTGTTTTCCAAAATATAGAAACTAAACCATCTTTTCTGACTATAAATTAAATGCAGAAGAGGAAAATAGTTCCCATTCTACCCCATTTCTCTTTATGGTTTACATAAAACTAATTTTGAAGTCTTTTTATTTTATTGTAATTGCTTACTGACATTAAATAGAAGCACATTTTAATGCTTCAAATGTTGTTGATAGTTTTAAAATAACTCTTATATAGTACATATTAATGTAATAGATTTTTGGAAACCATAACTTTTATGACCAGACTTTAGACTTGTATTCAAGTGTGTATCTTCTATTAAATAAAATAGAATCATGAAATGTGAAGGTTGAACTTCAGAAAGACTATGTTATACTGTGGTACAACTCCAAAGTCTGAGAAAAAAGTTGTTCACTCCTGGTACTTATCCAATATAGGCCATCATAGTGCACAGTTTTATTTCAACCCCTGCTTTTAGTCATTACAAGGAAGGGATGGAGAAGAAAGAAGCAGGCAGTGCAGGGTCTCACTTTGGTAAGGAACATGTGTCATTTCCACTAAAGTCACTTGACCATGCCATACTTCAGCCCAACATAGGTCTGATAGGTGAAGGATGAGAATATTCACTGAATATGAACAGCCCTAATGACTCTAGTAGCTACCATAGAAAGAATCTTTGAGATCATCTAGTTTATACCCATTTTACAGATGTAGAAACTTATTCCTAGCAAAATGAAGAAATCTGCTCAAAATCATAACCTAATTAATTAAAAACTGGTTATAAACAAATTTCTTGTATTCCATTCTAAAAAACGTATGTATCAAATAGCTTCTATGTGCAGCTTTGAGCAAGGATTTTGGAATTAAAGGAAAGTAAGGATATGTTATTGAAACCATTTTTACATAAGAAGTAACTTCAGAATCACATCTTAGAGAAAAAGTGAAGTTTCAGAAGGTAAACAGGAGAGAAAAAGACCCTTTACGTGGGCTTAGAGAATTAGAAGAGAAGCATGAAAGAGCATTGTGTTTTCATTGAGCTACAGATAGGTTAGTATGGATGGATCATAAGGTACAAATGAGGATCTGATCAACCA